TCGTGCTAATAGCGCGAGGGGTCGAGAGTTCGAGCCTGTCTGTCGCCAGTGCTGACCGCGAGACAACGAAATGATAATATTCTTTATGACACGAAGAATTCATTAAAAAAACGAATTAAAACAAAACAATCGTAGAAGAGCAGCAGTTTTCATCACAAATAAATTAAAAATCTTCTTTTCAAACAGCCGTTTTATAAAAATCAAATGAAACCTACAGAGAAATTAGGTTTCGCATCATTACGATGATAAATTTTTGAAGTCTACTTTACATCAGGCCGCAAATCGCGCCTGTCTGTGGTCAATGCTTCCCACAAAAGATAGGAACGAATGTAATCTTGATGGCACTACGAGTTTAAAAAAAAACTTCTGAAAAAAATTTCCTGGAACAAACGCAGAAAAACCGCAGTTTCTTTATAACGAATTTTGGAAGGCTTCTTTTCGTAGAAGACATTTCGAAAAATATCACATAATAAAGTTTTTCATGAAAAGGATGATAAAGTTGTGAAATCTACCTTACAGTAGGCCGCAGAGCTCAGTCGGCGATACCATCGCGCTAATATAGCGAAAGTCGACAGTTGGAGCCTCTCTGTGGCCACTGCTTCACGCGAGACAATGGAATGATTATATTCAATGACACGAAGAACTAAAAAACAACTATTTTAACACTGAAGAAAAAAAAATTTCAGGAAAAAACGCAGAAGAACAGCAGTTTCCAACACAAATGAATTAAAAACCTTCTCCACGGAATAGCCGTTTCGAAACCATCAAATAAAAAAATTCATAAAAACTAGAAGTTTCTGAAACTCAACTTCTGGAAAAAACGCAGTAAAGCATCAGTTTTCATCGAAACTAATTTTATATATCTTTCTTCAAAGATGACGTTTCGAAAAACAGCAAATATATAAACTCAGAGAAATTACAGGTTTCCCATCAATAAGACTATAAAGTTGTGAAGTCAACCCTACGAACGGCCGCATAGCGCAGACAGTTAGACCAGCGTTCTATAATGCGATGGTCGACAATTCGAGAGTGTCTGTGGCCAATGCCTACCGTGAAAGAAAAACATAATTAAACTCGTTATGACACGACGAACAAAAACTTGAAGGAAAAACTTCTGGAACAACGCAGAAAAGCTGCAGTTTTCAATACAACTAAATTTTAAAATCTTCTTTTCGGAATAGCCGTTTCGAAAAGATCAAATACAAAAAAGCAGAGAAGTTATAAGCCTCTCATCAAAACGACAATAAAAATGTGAATTCTACCTACCCTACAGCAGGCCGCATAGCTCAGACGGTTGGAGCATCGGGCTAAATACGCGAGAGTAGACAGTTCGAGCCTATCGGTGGCCAAGGATTTCCTCAAGAGAAAGGCATAGACACTCTTTATGAAACGGTGATTTAAAAAAAAAAGTATTTGAACTTCTGAGGAAAGAGTTTCGGGGAAAACGCAGAAAAACTAGTTTCTTCAATACTAGTTTTAAAAATCTTGCTTTTGAAGACGACGTTCCGAAAATCATCAAATGAATAAACTGAGAGAAGTTACAAGTTTCTCATCAAAAGGATCATAAACTTGTGAAGTCAAACCTACAGCAGGCCGTGTAGCTCAGTCGGTTAACGCATCGTGCTACTAACGCGAGAGCCGACAGTTCGAGCCTGTCTATGTGGCCAATGCGTCTCGCGATAGAAGGGCACAATTATATCCTTTATGACACGACAACTTAAAAAAAACATTTTCAGCTTCTGAAGAAAAATTTTCTGGAGAAAACGCAGAAAAGCAGCAATTTTCATCACAACTAAATTTGAAAATCTTCTTTTTGAAAGGCCGTTTCGAAAAAATCAAAAATAAAAACGCCGAGAAAATTAAGCTTCTCATCAAAAGAATCATAAAGATGTGAAGTCTATCATACAACAAGCCGCATAGCTCACAGGGTTAGAGCATTGTGTTAATAACGCGAGGGTCGTTAGTTCGAACATGTCTGTAAAAAAGTACCTGAACAAACTGGTTTTATAAAAAAACTTTAAAGGTTTCAAATCTTCGCTGAAATTACAAAAAAAACTGAATTTGAAGTTACCGTCATAGTTGTCTACAGCACAAGAAAGATTGTGATGTGACAACTGACCTGAACAAACTTCAGCAGACAAACGAAAGTCCGACAATTCAATTTTTAACGGAAGTTTTTGTTCAATTGTATCTATTTTGAAAAAGAAGGTTCTGCCGGGGCGCAAATCTCTGCCGCTACCGCTTTGTCCTGTGGCCAAGTGGCAAGAACAGTATCTACTTAATTCGAATAACAGCAAATAATTAAACTCAGACACGATAGAAACTTTTCATCAATGTGTGAAGTCAACCCTACAGCACTACAGTGGGCCACGTAGCACAGTCGGCTTCAGCACCTGGCTAACACCGCAATGGTCGACAGTTCGAACCTGTCTGTAGCCAAACGTTCACGCAAGGGAAAAGCACAGACAACCTTCTTTTGCCAGAGCGAAGAAAAATAACTTCAAAAATCTGAAAAAGAAGCTTCTGGAAAAAACGCAGAGAAGCAGCATATTTCAAAGAAAATAATTTTAAAAAAGTTCTATTCGGAGGAACCGTTTCGAAAAAAAAATCAGACAAACAAACTCAGAGAAGATACAAAGTTTCTATCAAACCACTGATGATGTTGTAAATTCAGTCCATCAGAAGGCCGCTCGAGCATTGTGCTAGTAAGGCAAAGTTTAAAAAATAGAGCTGCATGTGGCTGAGGTTTCCCGCGAGAGCAACGCATAGACATATTCTTTTTCATACTGCGAACAAAAAAGTTTCAACTACTGAAGAAAGAACTTCAAGAAAAAGCAGAGAAGCAGCAATTGTTATAGAATCTATTTTTTGGAAAACTTATCTTCCGAAGAACCGTTTGGAAAAACATCAAACATTAAAACATCAAAAAACTTTCTTCAACTCGATCTTCAAGTTATGAAGTAACCCCTACAGCAGGTAGCATAACTCAGTCAATTATCGCATCAAGCAATAACGCGAGGGTCGACAGTTCGAGCGTGACAATAGCCATAACTTCCAGAAGAAAAGGCATAGATTGAATCTTTTTGAGTGTGAATCAAAAAATCACTTTCATTATATGAGAAAGAGCTTCTGGAAAAACCGCAATACTTTTCATCAATACTTTAGAAAAAATTTATCGGGAAGAGCTGTTTCAAAAAAAAAACTCAAATAATTGAACAAAGAGAAAGATACAGGTTTTCTATCAAACCAATGACCAAGTTAAGGGAGTAAACCCTATTAATTTCAAGGATCTTTTATGATTCACTAATATTGGAGAAAAAAAAGAGAACTTTCAGCTTTTTGGAGAAGCTAGCATCAACAAAAAAAAAAACATTTTTATTCCACTTTGAAATCTTAAAATAAAAACCCAATTCAAAATCTCAATTGGAATTGGAGAGAAAAACAAGCCTTCCTTATTAAAAAAATGAATTCGAAATAATTTACGAAGAAAGTTAAAGTCCAGTCGCGAAAAATCAAATGTGAACCAACAAAGTTTAAGTTTAATTCAAAGACAAAAACAACGTTACCTTTTATAAGTTAAGTTTTTTACACTAATGAAAGAAACGCAAGGAACGTTCTAATGAACGTTGTTGTGGTAAAAAAAAATGAAATATAGAGGCGAATCTTCGCTTCGCAATCACTAGCGAGAACCAAAAGCAGCTCTAGAAAGTGATGCAACAGAAAAAAAAGAAATAGGCCTCGAATTAGTAAAAATTCGGCTAGGTCTAAGATTCGATCTGCAACCTACTGCAATCTATAGATTTCATAACTCACGCACTAACCTCTCAGCTATGCACGCTTAACCACCAAAAAACACTAGTCACAAAGAAATCAGCTACATTTGCTTATAAATTGCCAATGTCATTCAGCAAAAGTGGCACCAAATACAAAAGGACAGAGTTTTGCAACTAATCACTTGAAATATAACAAGCTGAAGGCACCCATGCTAATTTAGCATGTAGCACACATAAAGCATGAAGCCACATTATATATAAATTATGCTTTTCAAAAATTGCGAGATATATTGAGTTCGAAAATTTCTGAAATCAAGTTTAATGATTGTTATTTAGTTTGAAACAAATAGCTTTTTTCGTTTGAGTTGATGAATTGAAATTGCATCAACTGTGTTAACTTATAACTATTCTAATGTCAAAGCACATGCTATCAAAAAGCTGTAAAGATGCCGCAAAAGTGGCACAAACATTAGGTTAGAAAAAAGAGGGTTTGTAATAATACACTAAGCTGACGCTAGTGTTAAAAAAGTCTTTCATAAGCAATTGTTCTATCAAGAATTCGAGGAGTTACTTAGAACAGTTCTAGTTATTGCTCAATTTAAACTATCGAAAAAATAGAAATCGGCAATTAAGCTGGCTGTTTTTTAGTCGGAAAAAAATCATTTTAACAACTCCCTCGATATGAAGGTAGAAATCAGGCCTTTTGAAATAATTTCAAGCCGGTTCTAACGATAAATCCGTTAAGAAAAACAATCCGTTTGAATTTCAAATGAAAAATACTAGCCTTCAAAAAGCAAAAAACCATAATTTATAGATGGTTGCCGGAAATTGCGACAAACGTTATCATCCAGACTCCCAACGAGGGAATTTGTCGCATATATCTTTCGGATACCTATCCTCTACACCAATCCGCAAATTATATAAACACAAATGGGGTTGAACTGAAAGTCCAGTTAAAGTCTTGAAAGGCCTTTACTATTCCTGAATTTAACTATACTGTGAACAGCGTTTCCAACGAGAAAACACTTTAAGTCTAGTACTCGGTTGCAATACATCGTTTTTGCATTGTGAAGTTGTTTTGATTACTAACATAAACAGTGATCGATTAAAAGAATAATCACAAATAAAGACAATCAATCTTGAGAAAAATCATTAATTTTTTGAGAGTCCCTTCAATTTAGATTTTCGCAGCGTTGTTGAATTGAATCAAAACTGAAAACAACTTACCCTACACATGACTGTCTCATCGTCGGTAGATTCACTCGGAGGGTCACTACAAGTGTCCACAATGTGACTGCTGACAAACTCGGAGATGGCACTGGAGTCAGTCACCCCGGCATCGTTGATGTCATCTCCTGGTCTCCCGTTGAAGTCTCCACACAGACCGGAGAAGGTGAAATCGCTTCCAGAGGAAGAGGACTGGAATCGCCTATCCACCAATATAGCTGCTCGGGTACCTAAAGAAACAGGGAACATTAATTATCTGGGGGAGCCAGATATATCCGGCACAACATTGATGGCTTTGTAACATATTAACTTTAAAATGAGCGTTTGGCATAAAACTAAACATTCATCAGCTGAGGTTTTTTAAGAAAAAAAAAACCGAAAATGGCATGTCAAAATAACAGATTACGACGGTAGACATTTAAAAAAAATTAATGTCAACTAACCCCGAAGCCTAATCTGGAGTTAAATTATTTAAGTTGACCCGAGCGCCCATTGAGCTAAGACTTATTTGCAAGAGCTCATCTTGCAAATTGCTGCGCACGAGCGATTTGAACTAGCAATCATATGCTTGCTGGGTACCATCACTACCGAAGCGACACAATGCCACCAGTATAGTATAGTATGTTCACGTTTATTCGACATACTTTATAATTTTAAACCGTGATTTTTTTATCCTCTCGGAATAAAGTAGAGGGGAAGACTGTATCATTATATCTATTTTTAATGCGAAATAGTCGGAGACTGGATAGTAGGTACTTAAACGATAGAGTGACCAATGTTTTTGTTAAAAAAATAATGATTTATGATAAAGTTAATCGATAGAATTTCAAAATATTGGTGAGACAGAGACAATATTCTGCTCATCAATCAAAAATCTTGATTTTTCTCTCTTACGTAATTTTTTCAAACACTATTTGTTACAATTTTGCGGACTTACTTCCGTCCCATCTCAGTGTTACGTTGAATCCGCTGTTCTTATCATTGTAAGTCACAAAAGTGTCGAAATCATTTCTGTACACGATAGAAAAGGTCATGTCAGGTCGATCAACAGTCAAAACATCTTCATCTGCCGGCATGAAAGCCCCGTTGATATTTGGTCGGCTGTTTCTCCTCAAGGTCAGTTCGAGGCCTGATCCGGGACCCGGACTGAAACGGGCGCTGATCTCTTTGGCACAGATTAGTCCGGCTGTTCCACAGAGCTGGTTATTGGACTAAAAGAAAGAAAAAATGAAGAAAAAAAATCGTATAAGTGAGTAATTATGAAAAGACCTTCGAGCAGTAAAATGACTAAGAATAGAGGATGGTCCAAATAACTTACGTAGAAAAATGGCAAGTTTTTGAGTTGTTACAGACTGTTTTTTTTAAACTGGACTGTATGAAAAAGGCAAGAAAGACGGAGGCACTCATCATACTTCGTCTTCGTTCTCCTTTAATTTTACTGGATCAGCTTTAAGCGGTAGCAAAATAGGTAGTGCATCAAGCTTTCAATTAAAATGTCACTGGTTCGAGGCGCTAGAATACCAGTAGAAACTGCCCAGACCAGAAAAAAAAAACATCAAATCTTATGTGGAATTTTATCAGGGACACGACAGCTGTTTATATAAAATGCTAAAGCGACCTTTTCGGGTCATTTAGATTGAATAAGAATGGTCTGAAACTAAAACAGCCTTAAAAGACGAGATAAAAAGACTAATTTACAAACTAACAACTCGCAAACTGCACTTGAACTAGTTGAGTTAATTGAACTTACCAAAATAGTTGCGATGGGTCCCTGTGTGCCCTCCTTGTGGACCCTCATGGCCGCATACTGACACACCCCCTGGTGACTGTACTGGAGTTGATCGAATGACCTCACGTGACTCTCCCCGTTGAGGGAGCAGACTGCCTGACAGGCGGAGTAGTCGCAGTCCCAACCCCCACTCACACAACTGCACACTGCACAGCCACTAAAACAGAGAAGCATAATCAGTACAGATTACTATTCTCTTACTAATCTGTTACTATCCAAAATAGTAAAGCAAATTAATTTTAACATTTAAAATAAAATAGCTTAAATTAACAGGAGTAGCCGGTTGATGTGTTGAACATGTTCATTCAAAGAAAAATTGGAAGCATTTTGAAGTGATTAGGCTATGGCTACAAACTAAGGAGCTGTCATAGTGATTAAATTAGTTCACAGTTTGATTTCAGTTTCATTCTAAGTTGTTGCAATCTAGTTAATCTATCTGTCTGGCGCTAACTGGTATTTAACGATCGGAGTTGTCTGTCACCTCCGGATGACCGCTATTTCATTGTCTCCGACTAATATTCTACATTACCGTTCCCAAACTTAACGGATTAATTTACTTATCAAAACCGTCTTTTCACAGAGCCCAACTTACAATGCGTGGTCCTCTCCACTGGCATAGTCTACCCCGTCGTAGAAGCAAGGACAGTCCACTGGTTCCACACAGGCCACGTCACCACTGGTGCCCAAGTGCTTAAAAAGACACATTTTAAAGTAATTTTTCAGCTCATGACAACGGGCTCGAAAGCCAACAAAACTAAAATTAACTAGTGAAAGAAAAAACTTTCATAGACTTTTTAAGTTTTCAGAAATTAACTAACTGGTTTTACAAGTTGGACCTAATTTGCACCCACCATATACAATAACGTGACTATACCAAATTAGACAATAAAAATATTCCCTATTTAAAAAAAATAGATGGTTTTCATTTTGATTGATGGCCATAACACTAACTGCATGGACTACTTACAACCATGACCTTTCCCTCTGGACACACACATCCACATGGGATTCTGTCTGCCTCCTCGCAGAAGGAGTGGTGAAGTGTTCCCAGCTGCACATCCGCACACGTCTTCTGGCACGAGTTGAAGTCTGAACACAGAGAAAAGTGAGATGGAAACTGATAATGATAGGTTTATTTATTTATATTTCAGTAGGGATTACAAAAATCAATCACATTGTACAAATTCATAGAACTAAATCAAGGAAGACCAATAATAATAGTCTACCTAGGAGCATCAACAGGCCATAAGTCCTGATTTTTTGCCCCTAAAAGATTATGATGATTCTGTAATAAAGAGATGATGATTCTGTTCTGAAAATAGATGATGATTCTTAAATAGATGATGATTCTGATATGCAAACATTAACTTTGGATCCAAATGATAGATTAGTTGAAGTATTTCTATTATGTTACCATGAATGCGGCTATTTGTGTTTTTTCTTTTCAATCGTATGTGTGTACTTTCTAGAAAAAGCTCAAAATACAAAGTAAGCAGTGAAAAAGGGAACTTAACACTGACCTGATTTGTAGACTAGTTCTCCCGCACACTCGACAATGACGTCATCCTCACTCGGACAAGAGTCATTCACTTTGGTCACACCATCCTCACAGTAACTGACAACATCAAAAAGTTTTATGCAACGCTTACGTAACGCAAAAAAAAAACGAAATATTCTTAAGTAGGCACAACAGGTCAAGGGGATTTCTAAGTAAATAAATCTAGTCTCATGAGCTCAAAAAAAAACAGTTCAAAAATTCTGTGCGACTGACAATAAGTTCCAACTATGTATATAAAGAATCGAAGAAGTTAGCAGTGCTTACAAAGTGAGTACATTTCCCACAGTCCACACAGCCCCGTTGTCGACCATGTCTCCGTCCTGTCCCTTGCACTTGCAGTCCTCCAGACTGGTGCACATGTCACTCTCCTGAGAGTTGAGGTAGAAGGAGGAGTCCTCACACTCACACCCGTCCAGCACAGTCCTAAACAAAGCAAGGAAATCCGGTTGCAGTACGAGTAGTACAGAATGACCAGGACAAATTTTTTAAAAAATTTTGTTTGTTTTTGTGAAATGTTTTTCCTAGTGACACTGAAAAACTTCATAGCCTGCTCGCCCGCTTTATTCGCTCGAACTGAAACTGAAAAACAAAAAAAAATTAAACGGATTTTCTTGACATTCAATCAAAATTTTGGAAACTTTTAAATGTGAATAACAACTTATGGGTATCTATAATGATACCTCACTCGATCCAAACTAATGATTATTTGTGGTGCCAGAATTTGAATAAAATAAAAAAAAACAACACCCGGAGACAGAGCTCCTCTCCACTTTCACTCGTCGGAATAATTACAAAAGTAATGCTGAATGTAAAACTCCAGTAACTTCAGTGAAATAATTGTTTTATAAGCTGGTTGCAGCAAACGTAGGACCCAATGTTCCCTTGGCTGCAATCATTGGGCAAAACAAATTTTATACAAATTTTTTTTTTATAATTTTCAAAATAGCTTTTGGGAACCCCAATCAAGCGGAATATAATTCAATCTGATATCACACTCAATCTTTTTAAAGTGCTCTTCAATTTAACTGATTTCGAGTCGGAACCATTAAGGTAGTCAAGTTTATACAATTTTTTTTAAAGTTAAGGGTGACTGAATGAGGTGAAAAAATGAGAAGTCAGAATAAGTAAATGTAAGACTATAATAAAACAAGGATAGCCGGTTACTGTGCAAGTAGCACAGAATGTTCCGACCATAGTCTTAGCAAAAAAAAAACTCAAATTAGTGTAGCTTTTTCTGCGTGGTGTGATATGATAGAAGGCAAGGATCTGAACGAAAAAAAAGAACTTGGGTATATTTGACATTCATAGTAAAATAGGCCAATTGGAAAAAAGTTTGTGTAGAGAAATGACAATAAAAAAGAAAAAAATTCGTTAAACAACGAAAAAAAATTCAAATTTTTTTGCAGAAAATTTTTGAATTTTGAAATTTTTGAATCCCGGATTGGCGCTAGAAAACACCAAAAACTAACTTAACGCGAGTAAAACTAAGTTTTTACGGCTTAATTTCAGCATAAATAAGCTTTTGTAAGCCTGCTCAGCCTCAACTTATCACCTTGAAATTGGACCAAAAATCAAAAATTTCAAACTGGCTTTTCTCGACACTGAGAATTTAAAAATAATAATAATGTCTGTCGAATCAAGACTGAATGGGTTTTAATATGATATATCAAACAACCTAATCCAACGATTATGCGTACATGATTTTGTGTGGAAAGCAAAGAAAAAGAAAAAACCAAAACACCCAAATACAATGTTCCTCCTAATTTCTCAAATGCTGGAACAGTTAAAGTACAAATAAATTGGGAGGTCAGTCTCTCATCAAATTTTGTCTAAAGTAGTCGGAAACCAATAATTTTCGAACCATTTTTTCTTGACTGCGTAAGAATTTTTTCAAATTGCTTTTCGCATCTGAATCACGACTAAAAGAGCTTTGATATATTACCAAATTTGGCACCCTACGAGCTTTCCTTGAAGTGGTCAACATTGGCTGGAAAAAAGCTCTTAATCTATATTTTCTGTCCACTCCTCGAGATTGTCGGAACAGCAAATTGATGAAAGTTGAATGGTATAGAGCAAATGAAATAAAAGCCAATTTTCAAGTGAATATCTAACTGAAAAAAAAACGTTCAAGTTTTCCATTTTCGTTCGTTTTGTCCGGATAACTTAAATCAGCTCAGAATTTTACATAGTCGAGTTTACCTGTCGCAGAATGCCATGTAGGTGTCGTTGGAGTGGAAGTGATTGACTTCGTCACAGCTGCCAAATTTGCACAGATTCACACTCGTTTTGTACTTCAGAGAACCCGAACACGTCTTGCCAACCACTGAAAACAGATTTCAAATATAGTCAACGTCAAGTTGTTGGCAATATCTTTTTCGCTCAACGAATCTGAACGAAGTTAAATAACCTCAAACTGCTCATTTCGACGTTGGATTTAAGTTTCTCTTTTCTTATGTTGAAATGGTCCCCGCCTGTCGAAATGAGCAAAAAGTTGATTTTCGACGTCCAAATGAGCAGTTTTACGTTAATTTCAGATGACCGAAAAACAGTATTGCCATATTTTGTTCCAATACGTATAATTTCTTCATGTGTGAGCTGATTTCGACTTTTATTTCTATTTCGAGAGGTGAAAAAGTTTTGAGCATTCGTTCAACAGGTGGTCAACATTGAAACATCTCAGAACACCGTAATTCCAAATTTCTATACATTTCAAAAGAAAAAGATTCAAACAAACTGTACCGCAGTAGTACACAAATAAACAGCAGCATACTACCGACACAACTCTTCGAAAGATCATGACAACAATTCGATACTTGGAATGAGAGCACACGATTGACTCTCGCCTTTGAAGAATTGAGTGAACTTACAGCATTTGTCGAGTCCCACAGCCGCTTGCCAGCTGGCACCTCCCAAAGTGGCGATGCACTCGTCCACTTTCCCCTTGCCCTCTGCGGCCGCAATCTTGTTCAGTGCTTCCAAAACATACGCCTCGAAAACACTGCAATCCGCTTTGGCTTTGAGAGTCGGGTCACTGGTTCCAATGGTCGCCTATGAAAAGGATTTGTGTTGATTTCCTATTTCAAAAACACCGATTTTCTGAAAATTTTAAAATTATTGATTTCAACGGCCAGCCAATTACTGATCTCTAAATTGGTATACTTAACATCACCACCAAGAAAACCCGAACCTCGAAAGACGACCAGTGGCTACAACAATTATAACTTAACAAAATAGAAAATTTTCGAATAGAAAACTCCCCATTGCATCCCAAAAAGTATAGAAAAAAGACGCAAAGACTCAGCTTATATCTGAAGTTATTTCATTAGCATTAGTTACATCCAAAATTTCTAGTTTCTAATTTATCGAACCGATTCTTTACCAATTTTGGTTCCAATATTCCAATTTTTTGTCCATAGTGAAACAAAATCAGATTTTTGCCAAAATTCGAAAGAAAAAAGCAAAAAAATTGAGTCAGTTTTGCACAGTTTAAAGGCTGTTGATGCATTGAAAGTTTTCGGAAACTTGGTGCTTCGCGCTTGAGAATAGCCCCCATTTAACTGTACCTGACAGATGTCCTGTTCGCACAGGTGGATGAACAGTTTGGGGTCAAGGTAGTCGTTGAGGCACTGGAAGAAGGCCTTGGCGTTCTCGTTGCCATCTGCGTCCATCTTTCCACAGATGTCGATCTCAGATTCGAACTGATTCCTGAAGTACGCAAAAACTTTTTGAATCAAAAAGTATTGATAACTTAGTGCATTTTGCTATCCTTCAAAAGATGAAAATGATTTTTTCAACATTTTTGAAATTCCAAGAAGCAATGATTTTTTTTAGAAATTAAACTAGATCATATAAACTGTTTTCATTGAAATTCAATTTGATGCAGAATAAAAAAAAGTGGATTTAAAAAGCTACCCTGCTTAGGAAACCCAACACTGCAATGTTCTGAGATTAGACAAAATAGCCTTAGAAACACGTGTGGTGGACTTACGTCTGACACGTGGTCACTTCTAAGTCTGGCACACTGCCAGTGACTGAGATGCCCTCCGCACAGTTGAGAAGGGAACCACAGCCTGTCTGGCTCTCTCTGAACTGTTTGTCATCCCCTGAGTGTCCATTGTAGATACCGCAAAGACCTTCCAGCTAAAATGGATAAAATTCGCCACGTGAACATCAATTCCACAGGTCTAAATCCAATAAATTTCACGACGTGAAAACAATGCAAACTTAAATCTGAAATTCAAAATAAACCATAAAAAACTTTTCTATTTCAAACGAAAAGTTAAGAGTCTAGAGAAAAATGAGTTGCAAATGCAGCATTTTAAAGTCGAAATCAGTTTGCTTTTCTGCTAACGCTTTAACGTAATATTTTGCTTTTTTTTTAAAATTTTAAGCAGTAACGAATGATCGAAGCCAATTTTAAAAAATTTTCCGTCGTTAATTACTCTCTCGGCTTATTTATCAGTTCAATACAAATTCTGCTAACTGAGTTTTGGAATGAGCTGTCAGCTGTGACGAACACGTGGTTGTCCTGGTTGTATGTGATTGAGATGAGACCTCTGCTCTTGCAGAAGATCATCACTTTGTAGTAGAGACCTTCAGTGCCACTTGGCCGAACCACTTCGTATCGGTAACAGTCGCTCTCAGGATCATTGAAACTTAAACAGATACAAAGCATAGAGGTCATCAAGGTCAGTCAAAGTGCCATTGAAGGTCAATGAATTTCAAAATAGTTTCACCAATTGCTTAGCGTTATAATTTTGTTGGATTTTGCAAACCCAGGAATCTGGAATTATCCAAAACTGTTTTTATAGTTAATAGAAATGCACAAAAATCTTCAGAATCATTATACAAACTTTTATGTTCTATAAAATCATTTGCGGAGGGGACTCCACAAGAAAATGAAAACGCCTTGTGCTTTCTTGAGGGGATTTATCAGTGCTTGTAAAATCTATAATATCAAGTAGTTCACGCTTTGACACACGGTAGTTTGATATACTCGCGATTTTAACCCAAAATTTCGATACTAAAAAACTTACACCATGGCCCTGGCGCCAAGGGGTTCGGACAACTGGCCTCCCTCTCCTATCTCGATTGCGTCACCCTCAAGTTTGACATGCAGTCTCTTGCTACTGTCCGTGAATCCATTCTCGTACACGTAGAGCTGAACTGTCTTCAGACACGCGGACCTATTTTAAACAGGAAAAAAATATCAACAATGACATCAAAAAAAATTTTAAACAAAATTTTAGTTTTAGAGAAAGCATGAAAAACAATAGTTCTCTGCAAAATCATAATTTATCAAGAAAACCAATATTTTTTTTTTGTGATTTGAGCCTTGATGGACAAATATCTATCGCTCGACAAAGTGATTCAATTAACGGGAGTGATTTGCTTAAAGAACGTTTAAAAAACAAAGTCGCTCTGCTTAAGTGAGAACACGTGTTAATCGCAGAAAAGCTTTTTGTGAAAATTTACCTGTCAGTATCGCTACATCCTTCGGGACTGTCGCTCAACGACGCTCTGTCGGGGTGGTTTGTGGTAGTCACAGTCACTCGGAAATTCTGCTGGTCGGAATCTTCGAACAGAACCAGCTCGACATCTTTGGCGCCCAAAGCGAAGTAGGCTCCGTCGAACGTGGTGTAATGGGGATGTCCGATGACTGAACAGCTTCGCTTGCAAGGTCGGCTCTCACACTCCCAAATTCCGTATTTGGAACAGACGCTGGAAGCATAATGATATCATAAAATCAAAATTATGAAACAGACTGTCTAGTTGTTCATAGGAGTTTAAACTTAACGATACTTTCTAACTAATAATAGGAAATGACACAAGGCATGAATAGCTATCGGACCATTACTTCGAACTTAAACCGTATGAGGCAGTCGCTTTCGGTTGTATAATTTGGTTACACATCAGTAAACTCTGAATTGATATTACTTTACAGCGTGCCAAAAAATCAACACTTTTTCATAATCCGAATAATTATTTCTAGTGAGTGTGAACATACCACATGAGACAGTCACTCCTGTGAGTCTCTCCGATGAGGTAGTCGTCTCTGTCTCCATATTTGCACGTGCACTCCTCCGCCTTCACACAGCCGTGGGGCGCCTTAGCCTCTCGGTAGAACCCAGGAGCGCAGTAACAGCCAGGCAGAGCTTCCAGTGCTGCAACAGAAAAAAAATATATATTCAGGCCGAGCTGCTTTCAATTAATCTGGAACTCAGAGACATTCTCATAGGAATCCGCAGAACTAGTCCTGAAATCCGCTTAATTAAGATATGTTTCGATGGGGGCACAAATACGATGGGAAAATTGTGGAACAAAAGGCGGTGAGTTTGGCTTTTGACCGCGAGTGTTGCAGATTCCATGTACATGATGTAGATTCTATGTACAATGTGAATTTTAGCGAAATATGCGTAGCCCATGGGTGTTTTACTTTCTAGGCTCAAAATGAACCCAATTGGTCACTCAATTTATAGAAAGTTCCCTAGCATTTCGTTAAGCTTCAAATGGTCTCAACGCGATACTTCATGAAATATTGGAATACCTAGAAATTTCAATAACATGACCATGGCATAGGAATTGAAATTAGATATAGCATGTTTAACGGGACAAAAGACTCGATGAAGATAAAATAATTAAACCGGCAAGCATGAGTCGTCTTTTTATGAGACCAGCTATTTGTATGGTTTGCATTAAGTGGAGTTGAGCGACACTGACCTTGAATGGAGTTGAAGTTTTCCAAGTACTCGTTGGGGTCCTCGCCACAGTGGGCCTGGTGTCTGGGGGCCAGAGTGGTGAAGTACTCGTTCTCCTTCTGACACACTTTGGCTACAACACAAATTAACACACTCAGTTCAAACTTTCAATGTGGGAAAAGTATGTTAATTGATGTTGTAGAGAAAAAAGATCTCTAAAAGAAGCAAAAATAAAATATGGGTCCCATTATTTTTGAGAAAACTTGATAAAGGCCCGGAAGCAAATGAACTTATTTTTTCTGAAGTTAACTGAAAATTTTCGACAGGATACCATCGATAATTTTGGGAAAGTACTATTCTACTTGACCATAAATGTTTTTTTTTTGGCTCTGACTTTGAAGAAAACAGAATATTTGATTGATTTATAGTGCAATTCGATTACTATTCGTGGCAATATTCACAGGGCCATGCAAACATGACTCACCGCACTTGGTCCACTCATCATTGCAGAGAGATGAAGACACACACTGGTAGTGGTATGACTCAAATATTCCACACAGCTGCTCATCAATGAACTCCCTCCTCTCCTCCTCAGAAGAGAGACTCTTGTCCATGGAGGCGAAGCAGTACGTCATCATGCACACCTTCTCGTACTCTTGTACGAACACCTGAACAGAAGAAGATCAGAAGGAGGATCGAATTGGAAACACTTTCACCAAACTTTTCCACTCGGCGACGTTTGAAAGCTGGCTATATAGTCCAACGACCTTCTCTACAGAATTACTTTAAAAAAGAACCCATTATGGGTCTCTGCTTAGCCGTTTGATAAGGTCAAGTTAGGGAAATTATTCATCTCTACTACAGAATCAAGGAAAAATATTTTAATGAAGCTTTGACAATTATTGCATACTACCGATTATAACTTTTTCCTTAGTTTCTTGAAAATTTATGTCTCTACTCACGAGGTCTGTGTTCTCTGCGCACTGTTTGAAGATGCCGACTCTCAACTGGGCACACTCCTGGGCTGCTCTGAGACAGGAACTGCCACTCGCACTGCACGTCTTACTCACTCTCACAATGTCCTATGAGAAGATATACATGCTATTAAGATAAAGGGAATAAAAGGAGAACTGACAAGATCAACCTGCATGAGAACATCACATGGGAGTAACCAAAGCCAATATGGAAATTGCAAATGATACCAATTATGTTGCTGATTGAAGACTATTTTCAATCAGTTCGTTTTATTGGTAATCATTTTGATTTGTTGAATGATCCTGTACATGACATCTTAGAAAAAAACTTTGACAAAAGCCTATCGGTCTAAGTTTTTTAAGTATTTTTGAGAATTTGTAATTTCAAGATCCATTTTCAATAAATTTTAAGAAAAAAACAATAAGATGAGTCCTAGAAAACAGAAATAGGCGTACGTTAGGTCCAACAGTCCAGGACCTGACGAGGTCTTCAACTGATGACGCAGTCTGCTTGTTCTTCTTGGTCATGTCATTTGTCCAGTCGTCATCTGCATTACCACACATGCCCACGATCTCATTGGAGAAAGTATGGTCCATTTTGATCTAGAAAAAAAGGGAAAAATACTATAAAAAAAGAGGTTAATTTGGACAATTACAAAGAACATTGAATTTATTTTTTTCACAAAAAAAATCGAAATTTGGCATTCTGTTGCTATTTGTACCTTAAGATACCTAGCGGATTAAACGATTTGTTTTTAATGATTAATGAAAATTAAGTTTTATAAAATCAGCGATTATTTCAGCCTGATGGCTAAAACTTTCCATTATTCTGTTCTAACCTCGAAGTTGTTTCGTCCGTTCCACATGATGTAGACTCCGAATGATCCAATCCTCACTCCCCACGTCTCACTGCTCAGTTTGCTCACTTGCAATCCAGTGTGGGTGGACCTAATCAAAGAAAAAATTCATTGGTTTTTTTTGGTTAAATAACACAGAGGCGAAGCAAAAAAACTGAAGACAAAAAACGAAATGAGCCTCAAATTAGCAAAAAAAGGCGCTATGTGTCGGATTCTAATCTGCGACCTAGCAAATTTGAGTCTCACGCACGAACCACTCAGCCAAGGATGCTTAAAATCCCCAAAAAGTAGTCACCAATAACGCCGGCTACATATGCTAAAAAATTGCCAATTCGATGCAGCAAAAGTAGCACCAAATGCAAAAAGACACAATTTTGCAAGTAATCATTTGGAATATAACAAACTAAAGGCACTCCCACTACCTTAGCATGTAACAAATCGGAAAGCATAAAGCCATTTTATAAACTATGCATTTCAAAAAAAAATGCGAGATATATTGAATTAGAAAATTTCTAAAATTGAGATTTAATTTTAGTTATGTTGTTTGAAACAAATAGCAACTTTCGGTTCATTCGATGAATTTAAAATGCATCAACTGTGGTAATATATTAATATTGGAATGTCAAAGCACATTCGATCAAAAAGCTGTTAAAGGTGACCCAAAAGTGGCCCAAATATGTATAGTATAAATATAAATACACGAAAAAATCCAAATTTATTGCCATCATTACCCGACACGGATATGCAATTATTGGTGCTGCACTATGGTTTATACAGTGTCTCAAGTTCTTAGATGTGAAAACCCTATTCAAATCTTGAACAAGCTGATTACGGATAATAAAGTGAACAAACCTTTAGAGTTGTGCAGTACAGCAAGAAGATTGCCAACATGTGTATGCAAAAACTCAAATAAGCCAATTTTTCATTATCCTAAATTATCAGCCTCTTTTTCTTGAAATTATAAACACAGAGGCGACGCTATGCGAGAACACAAAAAGCAGCTCTAAAATGCAATAAAAAAGTAGAAATAAGCCTCGAATTAACAAAAGATTTGGCTACGTCTGAGATCCGAACCTGCGACCTAGAGATTAGGAGTCTCGCACGGAAGCCTAACACTTTTAATGAACGCTTTTAGTTGCGAGTTAGGTTAGAAAAAAGAAGGTTGTTAATAATACACTAATGTAAAAAACCTTCCTCCCAGCAAGTGAATATATTTAATCATAATTTTTTAGACTGCTACATTCTGGATAATGAAGAACGGTTAGGAAATGTTTTCTATTATTTAATTAAGTAAGATCTAGTATTTTTCTTTTTTTTTCTGATAAAGGTTCATTTTCTGGTTTTTAGGCGAAAACCAGTAAAGGTTCCTTTTCTGCTTTTAGGTGAAAACCACTCAAAATGAACTCTAAGTGGTCAAAAAACTAAGTTTATACATTGAGAATTTATTTCTCACCCAGTATCAAAAAAATTACCAAATAAATTTCCGCTCTGAGACACCTTTAAACGGACCTGTAGGTCCGATGCTGCTCTCCCAGTCAGTAAAAATTGTGGCGAGGTTTGTAAATTTATATAAAACCAACCACAATAGAACTACCTGACAACAATTTATTATTGGTTTTATTATTAAACAACTCATTGCGTACTCTTTTTCAGAGTGTAATTGGATTTTTTGCACCATTGTTCAGGCCGAGCTCTGATTTAAAACACGTAATGGGAGTATGCGTAAAGATGCATACTAAATGAGACGCCACCGAATTTATTAAATGCGATAGTGTCATCATCTCTTGATGAGACCACTTTCCGATCATTCAATGGCTATTTCTCGTTGAAACCTATCAGCAGAGTATAGCCCCCCTCACTAACACAAACATCCTACAATGGTGTGGCTATAATTTTTTATAATGCTAGACTGGGAGGAGGATTAATCAACAAATTTGCACTCTTTTTGGACATGTCAATCAAGACGACGATCTAGACTGACCTGAATCCCTCGTCGGTGTTGAGGTCGAGGAACTGTTCGGATCCGAGAGAGGGTTTGACTGCCACTTCCCTGCCTGCACTGGCGAACGGGGTGAGGATGAGATCTTCAGTGCCAGAGGGACCACCAGTCTTTACGGTAAGCACGTATTTCTGAAACAGACAAACATTGCGCTTAAAATACGTTGTCTCAATAAGAAATTGTCTCAAAATTTTTCAAAATTATCTCTTTTAAATCATGATCTTAGGTCAACATCTTAGTCCCAAAAATGTCAAATACAATGCGACTAATTAACTTACCATGCTAGCTAACTTAGGGTGTTTACCCCAATTACCTTAGCATACAATAGAAACCATACATGATAAAATAACTTGCCTTTATGCAACAGTTATTACGTAATTCCCATTTCTACCTAATCATCATTCCTACGTAATGTGACCTTACCATCTGGAAGGTAGCGGTGTCCACTCCGGAATAGACTACTTTGAAGTCGAACAGACTGGACTCAATGTCCTTGGCCAGAGTGAGTTGTCCGTTCACAGGCTGGAACAGCAGCACTCTCCCGTCGAAGGAGCGCAGGTGGTAGCGACTGAACGACTGGCAGATCTTCAGGGATTGTTTACCTTGAGTCACTTCGCCAGTGAACACAGCTGGAGAAACATTACAAAGTTACGTAATACTTTGCCGCGACAGGAAACAGAAAAAAGCCACTAGCTCTACACAAAGCAAAAAAACTGTTTTGTTTATATTGATGATGTTCATGAGATGATTGCATAATTTTGTAAACAAAATCTTGCTTATTTTTATATGGTTTTCATACGATTTTTGAGTTTTTTCGCACAAAATCTTGTTTAAATTGATGATTTTCATGATTTGTGTCGTTTAGTTTGAATTCATATTTGGAATTCAAACTTTGAATTCAACAGCGATTTTCAGGGATGTACAGGTATAAAAAAAGGAATGATACATCAAGGCAATTTGCATCCATGTTTACTGGATGAATCAGATAATTCACAACCATGTTTCAGTCATGATTCATCGATGAAACATCAATGTAATTTGCATCCATGTTTCATAGATCAATCGTGGATGACCATCGTTAAAGTGGCACTGCAACATGAATGATACATGGTTGCAAAAAGTGAAAGATCTATGATACATTTCTTAATTGCAATGCAACTTCAACCCGGGTCTTTGTGCTCGTAATTTTGGTCTTTCATATTTCAGTAAAGGTGATCTTCCACATAATTCATGTATGATAACAGCGTATTACAAAATGTTTCCCAAGGTGCCACAAGCAAATGACACCGTAGGAAACATTTTTTAATACGCCGTCATCGTCATTTATCTCTCGGTTTTTTGTCTTGGATGAGTGTCTCCAAATATTCGATCTCTTTTTAGAAGTTAAAAAAAATGTGTAAACTGACGATTGTGAGTGATGTTGTTGAGTCCCTTGGATTCCATGATGGAGTCGCAGCCCTCCTTCTGGATCTGCAGGATGTCATCTGGACTCAATCCAGTCACGTCACTCTGGTCCCAGTCGCCGACTGCAACACACGAAACACATATAGAATTGAATTAAAACACATTGAAAGATGTTTGAAATATATTAGAGAAACTACCATTATTAAGAGCAGCCATTTGAGTGGGAAAAAAACACCAAAAACATCATCAAAATCCCAGCTCAAACAAAATGCGTTCAATTTTACAAAAAGCAGTCGAAAATAATTCCATAAACTGCTTTAAACTATCAATCAATTGCCAACTGATTAACTTATATTGATAGGATGTTTTTCACTCATTTTGATCTTTCATTTTTAGGCAGTCGTATCCAAATTCAGCGTAAATTAAGATTGAAGAACCCAGGAGAAATAACAAGTGCCGGAGAACAATGAATAAATTACGTTTTTGCTGACAGAGCTTTTCGATGTCCCATCCGAGACAACACACGTCATTCTTGTCAGTGTTCAACTCATACGCAACCATCAGACTGTCTACACGCCTGAAAAAATATAAAATTATAATGAAAAACAATAAAAGTAAAAATTCGAAATTATAGAATTTCAATAAAACCTGTGAGCAATGGATAATAAAGCCTCCGCTCTGAATAAAATCAAAATTATTCAAACAATCTTCCTGGAACTATGAAAAAACTGTTGATTCAACAACCTTAATTGCCCAAAAACAGAAAGTCATGAAAAAAGTAACACCACCGAAATCTATCTAATTTGAAATGCCTTCAGAATATTAAGATCATTTTTGTTTTTATTCATTGCATATTCATAAAGTTTTCTTCGAACTGCAAAAAACTTAGACTATTCTGTTTTTCAAACATAAACCAAGCACATTTTTGAATGGTACAATTGAGGACTAGGTCGTGAAATCAAAATCATGTTTTGCAAAAAAAAACTCTCAAAAAACTATTGGAAAGAATGGTTGGTAAAGCTATTCTGTTTTTCAAACATAAACCAAGCACATTTTTGAATGGTACAATCGAGGACTAGGTCGTGAAATCAAAATCATGTTTTGCAAAAAAAAACTCTCAAAAAACTATTGGAAAGAATGGTTGGTAAATTTGTAAAAAAAAAACCAGGAAAAAAACAAAAGGAACGTCGAAGCACAAAACATGAAATCAAAAAATAAGCAAAAACAGAAAAATATATAGATCTTTCAAAACGTTCACATCGATCGCT